CATTATATAAATTTTAATAATAAAAGATTCTTCCTGGCCCTGCTTTCCTGGTGGCCTCCTCTCTACCTCTTGAGCATATAGTGACTTCAGCTTTTTATCTCAGGGGCTGCTTCTGCTCTTTCTAAGCTTTGGCCTTCTGGGGTCCCAGTGACTTCAGCCTCAGGGGTTTCTTCCTTCTGTATTTTCCAGGGTCTTCTCTCCTGGTGGTCTCCTTTCCACATTTCAGCTCTTCTCCCCTCAGGCTGTTTCTCCTTTGCTAAGGTAGCTTCAGCTCTTCAGCTTTTCTCCTCCTTCTGGACTGTCCAGGTTCTTCTCCTCAGGGGCCAGCAGTGACTTCAGCTCTTAGTGACTTCAGCTCTTCTTCCCTCCGGCTCTTCCTCTGGGCAATCTGGCCCTTTGCCTCAGCAGTGCCCCCTTTTATACCCTTCTCCTTCAGCTGATTGGTGGCCCAACTCCAGCTTCTCATTGGCTCTTAGCCGGGCCCTTCCATTGGTCCCCTGAGCCCGCTCAAAGCGACCAATGTCCACACGATTTGAGGAGGCCGCCTCTTCCTAATTGGCTGGAAATGGCGGGCTTTGGAACCCCTGAGGGGATTTATAAGGGTGAAGCGTGAAGGCCTCTTCTATTCTCCCTAGCTCTGATTGGCCTTGGAGTCCAACCTTAAAACTGTTCCCCCCTCAGTCCTGACAGGAATAATAGCAATTATTATTATAGTAATAATAATAACAGTTCTTCCTAGCTTCTTGGAAAGAACTCTTACAAAGATTAACCACAGATTTTTTTTTTAAAAAAAGTGGCAGCTGTGATTCTACATTGTGTGTCTAATAATAATAATAATTTATATAATTATAAATTATTGATAAGCTCAGTCCTGACAGAAATAATAGCAATTATAATAATTATTTTCCTAGCTTCTTGGAAAGAACTCTTACAAAGATCAACCACAGATTTTTTTTTTAAAAAATGGCAGCTGTGATGTTGTGTGTCTAATAATAATAATTTATATTATTATAAATTATTGATAAGCTCAGTCCTGACAGAAATAATAGCAATTATAATAATAGTTTTTCCTAGCTTCTTGGAAAAAACTTACAAAGATCAACCACAGATATTTTTTTTTTTAAAGTGGCAGCTGTGATTCCACATTGTTGTGTGTCTAATAATAATAATAGTAATTTATATTATTATAAATTCTTACAATTGATAAGCTGCCCAATTCCTACCCACTCTGGGCGGTGATATAACGTTTATCTTGCTGTATATCAAGATGCATAAAAGCCAAAGGGAAACGGTGACACCCCCATGTTGTGCTCCTCTTCTTCCCAGGGACCTCAGTCAGGCCGGCAGGGGACGATGGGGTTGGTGGTGGCCAGAGAGGCCAGCTGGGCACGGTGCCCAGTCTGCATTGGAGTCTTTTTTTCTCTCCCTTATCTGGCTTTTCCAGCTGTCCTGGCTCAGTCGATGGGAGGAAAGGCAGATTGTCCTCCTTTCAGCCAGGGAAAAATGGCCTCCGGAGGCCTCTGCCCCCCCCCCTTATTCCCCCCCCCCATAGGGATCTGGCCTCTGACCAAGGAAGTTGGACACTGACCAGCCACATCCTGAGCCAGGAACGTCGGGAAAGCAAAGGTGAACGCCGAGTTCGAGTCCAGCTCTCTTCACGCTTTGCATTCAGAGGACCGTTTCCAGAAGGAAGCAAGCATGGCATCATTGCAAGATCTGGGTTGCCCAGCCCTCTGCGATGGCCATGGGAGGGGTAGACTGCTCTTCCCCAGGGAGGCTCCATGCAGCTCTCAAAGCCTGATAGCGACCGATCCTTTTTCAGTGCTCCGGGGTTCGGCCATCCTCCGGCCGGAAGGAAGGGCAGGCCGCTTTTCCACCTGGCTGCAAGCGATGTCTTTTTCCAGCCTGCCTCTCTCGTTAACCTGCTCCTCCTCCTCTGGCTATTGGGCTGTGATGCTCTCCGTCCCTTGGATGATGGGAGTTGTAGTCCAACCAAGCTGGAAAGCAGTGGTTGAAAACAAAGATCTTAGAATAGCCTCATTGACTCTCTCGTCAGTTTTTCAGTTCCTTCCTTCCTTCCTCCCTCTCTCCCTTTCTTTTTCTCTTTTTTCCCTCCTTCCCTCCCTTCTCATTCATATCTTCTTTCCTTCATCCCTCCCTCCCTCCCTTCTTCCACCCTCCCTCCTCCCTTCTTTGCTCCCCTCCCTCCCTCCCTCCCTCCCTCCCTCCCTTCCTTCCTTCCTTCCTTCCTTCCTTCCTTCCTTCCTTCCTTCCTTCCTTCCTGTCTCCCTCCCTGCCTCCTTTCATCATTCTCTGATCCAGAAAAAAAAGGCACCCACAAATTTGAAGCATCTCATCATCTTTTCTATCTCTTGTCTCGATCCCCTGTCCTTCTCCCCTCCTTTCTCTCTGAAATCCTTCCTCCTCTCCCAGCTCGGCTGCCCAGCTTGCAGAGCCCCCCCCCCCCCCAGGCCCCCCCGCCCCCCCCCCCCTTAGCTCCAGAGATGCTCTGCCATACCCTGCCCCCTTCTCTGGCTCCAGCTGACCGGCTGCCCATGGGCTGGGGGTGGGGGCTATTGCCTCTCTGCCTCCTCCTCCCTGCCTCCATCCTTGCTCTCACCTCTTGTTTCCTCCTGGGGAATCTTCTCATTCTACGCTTTTCTCCAGGAGTGGAAGCTTCTGTGTTTCGTTGGGGGGGTGGGGGGTGGAGGTTGAGGGGAAGGCTGTGGTCAGGCGTCCGGTCTGCAAAGGGGAGACCGGAGAGGGGGGGCAGAAGGGGCAGGCAGAAGCCAATCCAGCCGCACGCAAGGGCAGCTCGGCCACCTTGATGGTGGTTGCATCATATTGGGGGAAAGAAGAAAAAGTCAGAGCTGAGAGCTGGCCCTGCAAACTTCTAGCCCCCCAATGCCGAGCCTGCTGACGTCCCTCCTTTGACGAAGGCTCCCTCCCTCCCTCCCTCCCACCCTCCCACCCCGAATCACAACTCTTTCCTGAATGCTTCTCTGTGCTGCACCAGCCGCAGTGAGTACGGAGCCTTGGGTCGATGGAGAGATGCCGGGGTTTCTGTGTTTCTCTTGTGTGCGCGCGAGTGTGAACGGATCAAAGTGGGTTTCCAGCATGATGTTCTTGGAGAAGCCCAGGGGGCTCTGTGGCTGTGGGGAGGGGGCGCTCAGTCTGACAGTTGAAACAGCATTGCAGAATCTCTTTCTCCTCCTCTCTCTCTCTCTCTCTCTCTCTTTTTCTTACTCTCTCTCCGCTCTCTCTCCTTCTCCTTCTCCTTCCTGAGTCTTCGGAGAGGGACGGCATATAAATTACATTAATTAAATTAAATTAATTCTCTCTTTCTTCTTCTCTCTCTCTCTCTCCTCTCTCTTTTTCCTTCTCTCTCTATTTTTCTCCTTCCCTCTCCTTCTCTCTTCTCTCCTCTCTCTTTTTCCTTCTCTCTCTTTCTCTTCTCTCTCTCTTTCCTTCTCTCTCTCTGTCTCCTCTCTCTTTTTTTCCTCCTCCCTCTCCCTCTCTGTCTCTCTCCTCTCTTTCTTCTTCTCTCTCTCTCTCCTCTCTCTTTTTCTTTCTCTCTTTTTCTCCTTTTCCTTCTCTCTCTTTCTCCTTCTCCTTTTCTCTTTTTCCTTCTCTCTCTCTCTCCCCTATCTCTCTTCTTCTCTCTCTCTTCCCTTCTCTCTCTCTATGCTCCCTCTCCCTCTCTGTCTCTCTCCTCTCTTTCTTCTTCTCTCTCTCTCCTCCCTCTCTCTTTCTCCTTCTCTCTCTCTCCTCCCTCTCTCTTTCTCCTTCTCTCTCACTCCGGATTGCGGGGTGCTGTAATGCCTTCTGCAGGATTGTGCAGTCCTGTATCCTCAGCTTTCCTTCCTCTTCCTCCTCCTGCTGTGCATGTCGAGGTCCCCGGCCCCTTCCCCTCCCTCCCCTTTGGCGCCACCGTTATGATGATGACGGCTCTGCCGAATTACGCTGAACGAGACCAACCCTGCGCCAGTTAAAACGTGGGGTCCCTGGTGGGACATGCAGCGAGCCGAAACTTCCCGTAAAACTGGCAGGGGGGGACGCCAATATAATTAACGGTAATAATGCAAGAAAAATAAGCAAGAAGCAGCGTTGCTCTCGCTGCCAGGGGTTGAGAGCCAAGTTTTCCCACTAGACGGGGTCTTGGATCCCTCGGCTGAAAAGAAAATTGGCAGCCCCTCCAGAGCATCCCAAGTGAGGGAAGCGATTGTGTTTGCCGTGCCTTTACTCCTCACGCCTCCTTGCACGCCAGGTGTGTGTAGATTCCAAAAAGCCGCCTTGCAGCTTTTTCGCTTGTGAAAAGCTGGACGTGAACCTGAGTGAAATAGTTGTTGCCTCTCCTTTTGTGGGTTATTTCGGTTCCTATTTCTAATGTTTGTGTGTAGGTGTGCAAGGAAGGCCTTGAGAGATGGAGACGCAGCCCGATAAGAGACGGCTGAGCCCACAACAACACAACACGGGCAGAGAAAGACACTTAGAAGGGACCCTCCCTAGTTTCTCAGGATGTATAGGAGACGGTGGGAGATTCGTACGTTCAAACCTGCAGGATTCTGATAAATGGAGCTTTATCATCAAGTAGAATTAGCTTATTTGGTCATATGTCAGTGAAAACTCAACCATCCAGGCCAAAAGTATCTTAAAAAGGTTTAAAGTCATGAAAACTGGACTGAAGTTTATCGTACCTGGTTAGGTTTCTGTCCGATGGTAAGGTTGAGAGTTTGGGATGTAGAAGCCGTGTTATCAGGGTTCCAAGTTTTTTATTTCAGACTTTCCCCTTCTGCCCTGTGAGCTTTGGAGAAGGAGCCGTGTTCCCCTCCAAGCTTTGTGACTAAATGTGTGTAATGTTGTGTGTGTTAAATAATTATCAGTCTTTCCACCTCACCCCCCCACCCCAAATGTCCGCAATAACTTTCTTTGCCGCTCTGCAATGCAGAACAGAGCAGCTTCATCCCCTGACTGTCGTCTTCACCTTCTCCCCCGTTCAGGATCCTTCGAGACCCCAGACTTGTGGAGAATGGACCATTCTGTGAATGGCACCCTAGCCGAGAAGCACAGCCCCATAGATTACGGAGTCCAGATCCGGTTCATCGATGACCTGAAGGAGCCCAGGAAATCCCAAAAAGTCCGCACCAAGGCAGCCAAGCCGGGTTCCTACGGTGTCGCGGTGCGAGTTCAGGGTATCGACGGTCAACCTTTCGTGGTCCTGAACAGCGGCGAAAAAGGAGGCGATTCCTTCGGGGTACAGATCAAAGGAGGAAACAAATATGGAAGGCCAGCTCAGAACCAGACTTCTGAGGAGACCTTTCCGGGCTCTCCCAGGACGGGGTCTTCCTCCAAGGACATTTCGGGGTCCATCAGCTCCGACTCGGATCTTCCCGAAAATCCTTACGGGGTGAAACCTTCTCGATACGGATCTCAGTACAGCACCTCGGACGAGGAACCGGGTCTCCAACGAGTGCCCCAAGCGGATAGCTTGGATGGGATTCGCGTGTCTCGTAGCAACCATGCCTCTGCTGCCCATGGTGGCTATCGGACCCTGCCCCACAAAAAATCCATGGGGCAACAGCACCTGCGGCGCACTCAGTCCCACAGTTCTTTGCTTGATCCTGAGCCAAGCGATCCTCAAGAGACGAGCCACTCTCGAACTCATAACTCGGGTTGTATTTCCCAGTCCTCCCCTTCAGGCATCCCAGAAAGGGGTACTGGTGCCCGTAATCCCTCTCCCCCCAGGCTCCCCAACCGTAGGGAACCCACAGCCACTAACTTCTCTGGTTTGCGACCGGTCCCCAAGCCCGTGTCCTCAGACACGGACTCGCCTGAGATGACCCAATCGGTACGGACCAACAACGGCGACATCGACACGAAGCCTCTGTCCTCCGTGGACTCCTTGATCCACAAATTTGATGGAAAGGCTCCCCCGAGGGGCCGAGCTTCCCGCAGGACCCGGGCCTCCCCCGAGAGCCATCAGCGCTCACGGAGCCTCGACGGGAGGAGCGCTTACCACGATACGGCCGACGGCCGAGAACGAGAGATCGACAGGCATCATCATCCAGGACATTTGAAAGAGGTAGCGCAATCCTCGGCGACTAAGCCGCTCATTTCGGCCAACGCCCCGGGCAGCCGGGGAGCCTCTGCTCAAGCAATGAAGGAGAAGGAAGTAGACAAATCTAAGATGATCCAGGATTGGGTCAACAAGAGTCTGGAGGAGCCCGGGACGGAAAAACAGACGAGAAAAATCCAGTCTGATTTGCAGGTAATTTTCTGAAGATCTTTGTTAGACTCTCAATTTCCCTATCAGTCCTGGGTCTGGTGGGAAAACCACAATCCTTTTGACGATGGGACTTGTAGTCCAGTAGTATCTTTGCCATCCCTTCTCTCTGGCTGGACGCCAGTAAGGTTACTACAGGGAGAAGGTCTTTTTTCTTAGCACATACAGTGGTCGCTAAAACGGACCAAGGTCTGGTTACTCTAACCAGAGACCCTTAAGTGGACTCTGTCTGATCATGGATGGTCCCTTCTGCAGCCGCCAGCCTGCCCAGACCCCCTTTGACTCACCAAAGTTGGGTTTATTCTTCCAGCTGAAGTCCACCCCAGACCTTCTGAGGGACCAGCAGGAAGTGGCCCAGCCGGGAAGCAGCGAATACACCAAGGAACTCATCTACAGCATCCTGAAGGACAGGTAAACCCCGAAAGCTGGCTTGAGCTGAGCCTAACCCTGGTTGAGTTCATCTCAGCATCTCCCTGAATGTTTCTGGGCAGCCCTGTGGAAATTCTTCACCCTTTTCTTTTCCGGCTTCCCAATTCCTATCTGAATCCCTAAACTCTCCCCATGCCAGGATTTAACCAGGTTGGATCCTGCTTATCTTTTTCCAAGGTCAGCCACTTTCCCGGCTTTGAATATGTTTTCACATTTTCCTTTTCTTCTTGCGCCACGGTGCTCTTCGAAATTTTGAGAAATTTGAAATTGCCCTGTGGGAATTCCACCAAAGTCATCCCCCTGCCTCGGTTTCCCACAGCAGGCAAGCCAAAAGTTTCCGGGAAGTCCACAGACAGCTGGCCTACAGGCCTTCCCTCATTTTGGGTTCAGCCCCCGGCATTTGGGTAGACTCTCCCTAAAGCTGGAGGCTCTGTTGTCTCAGCACCCTCTCCTGCTTGGTAAGATTCGATGGGACATCGCTGGCAGTTCCTTAACCGGGGTTACCCGCTTGTCAGAAAATCGTGGTTTATTCAGGGTAAGGTTGCTACAAGCCCTCCTTCGCATTTGTCGGCCTCTCTGTCATTCTTCAGGAGCAATGAAAGTGATGCCACAGCGAAGCGCAAAACCAACCTGATCTTTGAGAAAATCCAGGCGTTTGCGGTAAGTTTGCCTCCAAAATACATACAATGTAAAACTCAACAGTTGCTGCTGGTGGGGGGGGCTGTACCCCTTTCGAAAGAAGCTTCTGCCTCTTTCGGAAACCATTGTTGTGGTCGGCCAGTGGAACTGGTAGCAGATTTGGACAGTGAGGAGGTTGGGGAGGAACCTGGGCCAGTCCTGGAGTCTGGGGAAGGCTCTGCGTCGGAGGCAGAGAGGGGGCCAGGGCCGTCTGACAGTTATCAGCTGCCTTCGGAATCGGACATCAGTGAGGCAGACAAACAGCTGGGGCCTGTTCCCAGAGCTGCCAGACGAAGGGAACATCTAAAGAACAAGGGGCGACTTAGGAGTAAAGCCACAGGTGGACGATGAATGGCCCCTCCCAGAGGGAATAAAAGAGGGGCGAAAGGGGAGGGGAGTTTGCAGGAGGCAATTAGATCGCTTAATTGGTTCGTGACTCCTTGCCAAGTTTTGAAGATATCGGCCTGGCAGCTCTCCAAGCCAGATAAAGGCCTGTGACTGTAAATTCTCCCTTTAAAGTCTTTGCTGAATGTGAATGAGAAGAATTCACAGTCACTTAATAAAAAGGGATTTTTGTCGGGGTGAGGAGTCTGCTTCGTGGTTTAGGAATGCCTAGGTCACAACAACGATGAGGTCTGGCCACTTGACGTGAAGGTTCTCTTAAGAAAACGGCCACGCCTAAGAAATGGGAGTTTGCCTCCTTTTTCAATTTGGAAGAAAATTTAACTTAAAGCATTTTTATTTTCTCCTGGCTGGGGAGGAAGGCCGTCCCTTCATCCGAGCTGAGAGGATCCGGTGCGGAGGTGACCAAACCGAAGCTGAGTGTGGACGAATCGGACAGCCGGACCAAGGTGGACAAAATAATCTATGTTTCTTGCTTCTGGCTATATATATATATGTGCCTGTGCGTGCTTGGCTGCCGTTAATTCCCGCAGGGGAGGGGAGGGCTTTTGGACTCCAACTCCCATCTTCCCCAGCCACCGGCTGTACCAATTAGAGCTGGGGAGAAAAAGTCTTCCTGCAAAACGTGAAAACGGGCCCCCCCAAACAACCGTGGCAGAATTAAGCCCCGACATTTCCTTTGTTGATTCACTCCGGCAAAGTTTATTTCTCTCTGTCCCGCCCCTTTAAAAAATGTAAATCAAGTTTATGTATGTATGTATGTATATAATTTTTTAATTAGATGCATTTGCTGCCTGGCCTCGAAGGCATTTCTGGGCACCTTGCAAAAAACACTAGCAGTAACTCACAATAACAGGAATAATTTAATAACGGTTTAAATAATAAACACACCTTGCGGACTTCAACTCCCAGAATTCCCAGCATAGCTGGCTGGAGAATTCTGGGAGTTGAAGTCCGCAAGTCTTAAAGCTGCCAAGTTTGAAGACCTCTGCTTTTAAAGGAATAACTAAAACTGTCTAAATAAACGCATTTAAATAAATAAATACGATTGAGATGACTGGATTAAAAAGGAAAGGGTGAATAAATCGGGGTTCCACACAGGCGGCCCAGGGTCTCCCTCGCAACCTCCAAATCCGGCTGCAGGAACTGGAGGAAGAATGCCAGCGACTCCGGGAAGCCTTTGAGAAGAAGAGCCAGGAGCTCCAGAGCATGGGGAAAGAGTGAGTATGGGGTCCTTGTAGGGGGGTGGGGGTTCAGGGGGGGCAACTGATGCAGACCCCGTCCACCTTCCAGGCTCCCCGCCCCGGGCTGGGCTCCCCATGAAGTCTAATGGCTTCCCTTGTATAGGCAGCTTCTGACCCAGCTTCTTAAACTGAGAGTAACTCTGCTGCCTCATTGCTGCAGCAGCTTCCGGTTGCTTACAACTTCTCATTAGCTTACAGCTATTAACCCTTTACACTCTGACAGATGAATATTATTCCGAATAAGGATAGTCCTGTGCAACACTTCATTTAGCGACCGCTCGAAGTTACAGTGGCCCTGAAAAAAAGGAGTTGTGTGTTTCTTTCGATCAATGCTAACACTTGTTCCCTCCCCTTGAAGGTTGAGAGACGTCCGAGCGGTCAAGGAGCAGTTGGAAGCCAAGCTGACCGACCTCGAAGACCAACTGAGCGAGATGCAGAAGGCCCTGGATCGCTTTCAAGAGCTCTCCTCGGGCAGCCCAGATCAGGATGCCTTGCTGAAGGTCAGCTGAGACACCCGAGTGGACGCAGCCCAAACCCTCCGGCTGGGCCAGGCCCAGAAACAACGTTTCTCTTCCTTGGTCTCCTCAGGAGCTTCTGGAGACCCGCGAAGACCTGGAGGAGATCTTGACCGCCAAGCAGAAGCAGGAAGACCAGCTCCGCCAGAGGGAACGCGAGTTGACGGCTCTGAAGGGGGCTCTGAAGGAGGAGGTGGCCAGCCACGACAAGGAGCTGGATCGGGTCCGGCAACAGTACCAGCAGGACATGGAGCAGTTGAGACGTAACATGGACGACGTGTCTCAGGTGAGTGGCCTGGTCTGCCTCATCTTGCAGGTGGAAGACCCAGGGATGAGGGAGTCTCACCCAACCTCCAGTTGACATGCTAGATCTTTCCATGGAGAGATCCTTGGGCCAGGAAGCTGGGAAGAGCATAGTATCTTCTGGTCTTCAAGAGAGGTGACCACTAGAGCAGGATTTAGGCAAAGAAAGGGACATCACTTGTTAACCTTGAATTATCTGAGCTTGGGAACTCAAGGTTGTCAGGGTTCCCACGGATGCCCTAACTAAATCATGAGCCTTGAGCCAAGCTTCAAAAGAAATCCAGTTATTTATTTGGAGCTTCATGTCAGCAAGTTCCAAGTGAAGCCAACTCTCACGTAATTTACGCCCCAATCATGACCCTGCTCCCCCCTCCCCCCCAGGGTGTGTCATCAATCACATTCACCAGTTGTATAGATCACTCCCCTCCAGCCGCTGTGGGTAACCCTGGGAGACAGCCTTGAGAGAGATATGTCTGGAATGTGCTTTTATATTTGGCTGCCATGCTGCTTCATCAGTTTCCCATCCCCCTTGCCTATGGCAACTCGAGAGCAGGCCAGGGATGCTTTGTGAGTTGACGAAGGTCTCATGTCTAGTTCCCAGATGTCTAGGAGTGAGACCTTGATGTGATCATTCTCCAAACACGAGGTCCACCTTGGGGTTTGGTGAACATCTTGTTTTGGGTTCTACCTCTTCTTTGAATCTTTGAATGTTGGGTTTCTCCTGGGTAGGATCAAGCCAGTCTGGAGGCCGAGAGACAGAAGGTCAACTCTCTAGTGAGGACCCTCCAGACGGAGCTTCAAGAAAGCCAAGAGGAGGCCGCTCACTGGAAGGAAGTGTCCCAACGAAACAAGGAGGAGCTCCGTAGTGTCAAACAAGAGTGAGTAAACTACCTTTCCAGTCTGTCATCTCCTTTGAAGACCCCACCCATCGCTTTCCACCATCTTTAATCATCTTGAGGGGCTTCATGCATGGATTTCATGCATCTCGGCTGGCTCTCCAGCCACCGTTCACCCGATGGCTTCAATGATGGCCTGACATGTGACTTTGACATCCCATCACTGCCATTCATTGGGCTGTCATTGGCTTTCTGAACTTCCTGCCTCCCTTGGTCGTTGACACGGCGGTGGCCTTCACCTCTTCCAGGCTGCTGCAGGTTAAGGTGGAACGGGAGGAGTTTGAGGAGGATCTGAAGGAGAGCCGCGAGCGTTTTGCAGCCGTGCGGAAAGAGATGGACCAGATCCGGAACCGTTCGACGGACACTGAGGGGCTCCATGAGCTAAGAAAGGTGCGCTTAGCTGCAAAGACCCTTAACAACAATCTAGACCACTTTCAAAGCGTGTGGACTTCAACTCCCAGAATTCCCCAGCTTCCATGGGTGTTGAAATTCACGGTTGAGAAACGCTAAGATGGATCTCATAACTCTGTCAGGAAACATCACCAGGTCGAGACCTCCGATGATGGTTGGAGAACTCCAAGCTCCATCATCCCTGATCACATTCCCATGGCTTGATGGGTGCTTGAGTGCCATGCTTGGCCCTCTACTCCTAGTGTAGTGGGAACACATTTTTTCTGTTTCTTCTTCCTTGCCCGTCCAAAGGGAGACCTCTTCACTCTGTGTCTTTGTATGTATGTCCATACATATGTATGTCCATACTTTGCCATCTTTAAGGGCTGAGGAACATGGGCATGTTTTGAGGTTGAGTCTAAAGGGCTTTGTGGTATCCCAGCTTGGATTCCTGAGAGGTTATGCCTCTCACCTGGTCCTACAACAGTCTTCCAGCTCTTGAAATTGGTTCGCTTATTGGATGGGCTGCTATAACTTGACCTGCCAATGGAAGCCATGAACCATTCATGGTCCTTCAGCTTTCCGGGATGGCTCTGACTCGTTTTCTCCTCCTGCCAGGAGCTCCGTCAGGCTCGGGAACAGCTGCAGGACATGGTGGAGGAGAAGGAGGAGCAACACAAGGTCCTACGCTTGCGGGAGAGTGAGATTGTGGACCTGAAGGAAAAACTCAATGACGAGATTGCTTCCCATAGCCAGGACATTCAGGGATTAAATTTGAGGTTCCAAGAGAAGATGCAGCAGCTCCAGAAGGACTATGAGGAAGAGTTTAAGGTAAGAAGGGCTAAAGCTAGATCTGGTTCAGCATCCAGCTTAGTGGTGAATTGCAATGGGGACCACCTGGTTGTCTTCTCCATCCTTTCCTCCTGTAGACCAAGGCGGCCCTGGAAGGCGAGAAAGAGGCCATGGAGCAGACAAGGAAACTGGTGGAGTCCACCCTGCGGGAAAGCCAGGAAGAGAACGATGACCTTCGCCGTAAGATCTTGGGGTTGGAGACCGAACTCAAGGAATACCACCATTTTGCTGACAGCTGGCAAGACGTGGAGAGCAGGCTGAAGGAGAAGATTTTCAAGTTGGAGGTACTGAAAGGAGAAGCGAAGTTCTCTCACTTGCTGGTCAACTTCTCAGTTTCTTCTTTGAGTAGAGTTGAATGTGTTCCATCTGTAGGCCCAGATCTGAGGAGGGGGTCCTTGCCCTGATTAACCCCCCCCCTCCAAATCCAGTTTTGAGGTTCTGTAACTTTCCTTGAGCGAAAAAGGAGCTTCCTGCTTGGCCGATCTCTTGGGTCCTGCCTCAGTTTCCCTTTTTTCTTTCCTCCTCTTCCTGCTTCCAGGCTGATCGCAAGCAGATGGAAGAATCCGTCAACAACGCTGTGGATCAAGAGCAGGACTTGCTGCTGGCCAAGAGGACCCTGGAGAGTCGGCTGGAAGAGGCTCAGCGCAACCTCAATAGACTCACCCTGGAGCACCAGGACCTGAGTACCTCCTACCAGGAGGAGCTGAAGCAGAAGGAGACACTCAGGAGGGCCAAAAACGATCTGGAAGAGGAGAAAAGGTTGCTGGACAGAAGCATCGTGAAGCTGAGCAAGGAGGTCAGTCTCGTTGAGGGCCGCCAAATGGGCTCAAAAACCATAGATTGAAGCTTTCTGAGATGCCACCTTGAAGACACAGGTGGGAGTCGACATCCCAGGGCCTGCTACCTCCCCCTTGGACACCTACCTATCTGCCCCCCCCCCCCAAAGTTTTCTGAATGCAGAAGAAGGTCACGGGAGGGAGGGATCCAGGGCCAAACCGACCCTGTGGTGAAACTGAGTGTCCTCTCCTTCTCCAGATGAAGCAGATGGCCGAAGAATCTCACCAGGCCCTCTCGGACCTGCAGTCGCAGCTGGAGGAGTACAAGGAGAAGTCGCGCAGGGAGATCAGCGACTCCCAGAAACAGGCGAAGGACCGGAATGTGGAAGTGGAGAAGATGCAGTATGAGTTGGGGAGATGCCAAGACGAGGTAGGCGGAAAAGATCTCGTGCTCCCTTCTATCTGTCTCTCTCTCATCTGTCTCTGTCTGCCTGCCTGCCTCTTATCTATCTAATCTATCTATCTATCTATCTATCTATCTATCTATCTATCTATCTATCTATCCATCCATCCATCCATCCATCCATCCATCCATCCATCCTCTATATCATATCTCTCTCTCTATCAATTTATCTATCCATCCATCCACCTATCTACCAATCCATCCACCCATCCTAACCCCATCTGTCCATCCAACCCTTCTATCCTTTCTTCCTCCCTCCCTCCCTTCTCTTTAACTTTCCTTTCTTCCTTCTCTCTAATCTATCTTCCTTCCTTCCTTCCTTCCTTCCTTCCTTCCTTCCTTCCTTCCTTCCTTCCTTCCTTCCTTCCAACCAACCCTTCTATCCATCCATCCATCCATCCCTTCTTCTTCTTCTTCTCCTCCTCCTCCTCAGGTGCTGCGTCTCAAACAGGCCCTGCAGGACAGCCAGGCCGAGCGCGAGAACGCCGTCCTGGACAAGGAGCTCCTGGCTCAGCGACTCCGCAACCTGGAGCAGGAGATGGAGACCAAGCGGCGATCCCAGGACGATCGATCCCGCCAGGTCAAAGCGTTGGAGGTTTGTACGGTCTCTGAACGGATCCCACTCTCTCTCCTTTTGGGCGTAGCTACAGGTAGTCCTCAACTTACAACCAGAGTTGAGACCAGAATATCTGTTGCTAAGCGAGACAGAGGTGCAAAATGAGCCGTGCCCAATTTTACAGCTTCTTTTGCCACCGTCATTGCTTCCACTCGCCAGCAGAGGGCAGTGTCTGCTCTCAAACTAACTTCCCCTTTTATTAAACTCTGCACTATGCTAACCCGTTTTTGCAATAACCCCAATTAATTTTCCGCAGAGACAGCATTTTTCGTACTGCAAAACTTTGCATTTTCCACAAGGCAGCATTTTTCTAGAAGAAAAATAAAGATTTTTTCCCCCCTCCATGTTAAGAAAGGCAGCCAGCTCCAGGGCAGGAAAAAGAAAAGAAAAGAAAAAAGAAAAATTACCAGCTCATTTGCTAAACCCCAACATAAAACAGTGACTTTTCCCTCTGTTTTCTAAGCGCTCGGTGGATCCCAAAAGATCCCGGTGCCCTTGCTAAGCCCATCCCTGTGTTTGCAGGATAAATCCAAGCGCCTGGAAGTGGAGCTGGACGAAGAACGCAACTCGGTGGAGCTTTTGACCGAGAGGATCAACCGATCCAGAGATCAGGTGAGCCGCGTTCGGCCTCGGACCTCACCCCAAGCCCTAATGAGTAGAAAGGGGGTACTTCGGTGGTTGCAAAACACAGAAGCCCATCTTTATGGCGGACACCCCGAAAAATCTCACGCGTTGCACATTATTTGGACCTGAAAGTTAATTTATCTCCTTCCCTGCCAGATTACCTCCATATTTTAGACTTCAGTGTCATTCAGACAAACTCTTGGCCCTGCCGTTGGTTTGCAAGCAATAAAAGAAAAAAAATATTTGTCTTGCTTCGGACCAGCAGGCTTCGGCGTTTCCCGTCTTTCTATTTTGTACGAAATCTGCTGGGCACGTCAAAGCAGATTGAGCCTCTGTCTGTCAGTGCGTTTAAATCCCTTCTCATCCTCCTCCCAGCCCTTCCCGGCGCTGTCAATGCCTATATTTAGTTTTCTTGCAAGTCTATCATTTCCTTGCGTTTTAGAGCTGTGTCACCCAAGCAGTTTGGGGAGGGGAAAAAAATAAATCAGGGGAAAAAAAAAAAACAAGCGAAAGACGTTATTATTACTAAGATTTGCAAACGTCTAGACAATCTGTACTGTAAATATAGTCACGGAGCCATTCTTGCAAAGGGAAGGGTTGGCCTGGGCTTAAGATCAAATGGATTTGTAACATAAATCAGGATTCGAACTGGAGACTCCCCGGTTTTCAGCTCGGCCTTTTTTTGGGCTGCCGTTGACAAGGGGCTAAAAGAAACCTGGATGGTTCCATAGTGGGATTTGTGCAAGAAAACAGGCCTAGGAATCCCTTCTGGGGCCCTGATGGAGCCTCCCCATTCAGGTGCAGCGTATCACTGCGTGGTTTCAGCCGGCATCCCTGGGGGAATTCCTCAAATTTCATGGACTGCTCCCTGAAAGGAGAAGGCTCTTCGGGGCCAGCCTTTGAGCTCTTTTGGGGTGTCTTAATCTGAGCGGAGCCTCCGTGCACAGGAGCAGTCTACCTTTGAGCAGGAAACACTGGGAGATTATAGTTCGGTGAGGTATCCGTCAGCCAGGATGGGCACCCAGTGGCCAGATTAAGTTTATGCCCCCCACCCCAATTTTTTCTCTCTCTTTCCTCCCTTCCTCGCAGATCGACCAACTGCGCGCTGAGTTGCTGCAGGAACGGTCTGCTCGCCAAGACCTGGAATGTGACAAAGTTGCTTTGGAGAGACAGGTAAGGCTGCGACAGGAGGGCAGAGCAGAGATCCCGGGCAGTCCTCGATTTACAACGGTTCGTTTAGCGACTGTCTGAAGTTAGGACACCAGTGCAGTCCTTGCACTTATAACCCTGGCGGCATCCCTACAGATACTGAGCCATTTAATCACAACGCTGGCCGTGTCCCCAGGGTCAGGCGATTGCTATCCAGAATAGAGCCTCCCAGCATAGGAGTAGTCTACCTCAATAGGCACGGAGGACCGCTGGAGGGCTTCACGCTTTCCTGCCAGGAGGGTGAATCCCATTCGCACAACAACTTAGCAACATCCGGTGGATTTTTCTTTTCTTTTTTTTTTGGAGGCTCTCGCAGAGCCACCCCAAAATGTAACCTAGGTCTGTGTTAAGCCGGCTGTGCATTTCGAGAAAACGCTGCTTCTGGGCTTTTAACCTGGTTAAACAGGAGAAGGTGGCTTGTTTTCCTTAAGACTTTCTAGCGCTTGGAAACAAGACGATTTTTAATTCGATGGGAGTTGCAGTACCAAAAATGACCACTGGGTAGTGCCTTTTCTTAGCTCCACTTCCAAACAATTAGCAAGGTTCTGGACTCAACAGCACACTTCTTCAGATGGACCTTATTCTTCTTTTCTTTGGGGAAAAAAAACCCCAACATTGTTTGATTTACAGGCCAAAAACTTTCCCTTTCAAACAACGCAAAATTCATTTTTCACCCGGCCAGTTTTTCGAAGCTCTAAAACGCATGCAATGCCCCCATTCACCTAATTATGAAATTCGTTATATTTTAGCTTCCCGTAGGCCCAAATTCAGCCTCCTTTCACGATTTTTCAGTGGAAAAGATGCATTTTTTTTGCTCTTTCCCACAGAATTTTTTTCTATTCCGGCCAAAGGACCTCTTTTTCTGCTTTTCATGGGGAAAAAAAAACAGAAATTCAGACAGGCTGAATTTTATTCCTGTGCTAAAGCAATAAAATTATCATCGTTGGTGAGCCAAAAAAACTTTCTTTTTCTCCACCCTCTCCATGCGGTAGACCAACTCCTGACAAGTTTGAACTTGGCTTGAGGATGTTTACGGACCTTTTGAGGCTCAACGTAGCTCTTAAAAAGAAAAAAAAAAGCAATTTTTTTCCCCTTTGTTCCACCTGGCCACGGTTCACTCCAAAATAATAATAATAATGCCTGTTATATAACTCAGGAGATGAAGAAGAGAGATTATTTTCTCTCTCTCTTTACTAGGCAGACAGGAATTACACAACCTTACGTTTTAATTGTAGGCTCATTGTTTATAATCACAACGTACCGACTCAGCCGAAATTTTCGCGCTGCCTTTCCCTTCTCCCTGGCTCCTCTGCGCCCCGCTGACGTGACCCCCTGTGCATTTTGCAGCCTCTGAGCAGGTCTTGATTGGCCGGGTTGCTCCGCTCGGTGGAACGACTTTGAATAACTCGAGTCAGTGAGCCAAGCTGCACCGAGCAAAATAATATTTATTTATTTATCACATTTTTCAACCACCCGTCTCCCTCGCCAGGGGGATGGAAGTTCTGTGTGTTTTAGGAGGGGAGGGGAAATCTAGGCTTGAGCGGAAATAATTATCCACTTCCTTGGTATTTTAAGGAGGTCTCCAGATTGATGTCGTCTTACACAAATTATACGTTTCTGTGCAGAAAGAAGAAATAATAAACTTATAAATAACAGAGGGGGAGGGGGAAACTTGGCTTCCCTCCCTTTTAGCGTTCTCACATTTTCAAGAAACAGAAACAGAGCTGTGGGTTTGAGCTGTCGCCCTTCCCAGATAGACCAGACAGGAAAAACATCCAGATGTGTTAATCCTATTTTATTTTAAGGTTTCCTGAATCTTGCAAGTGTGAAAGTATATATATCTATCTCCCGCCATCTCTTTTATACCGCCTGAGAAATATTTCCTTTCTGACTTTTTTTTTCTCCACCCGTTACGCAGCTGAGGGCTCCGCGCTCCCTTCTCCAATTCTTCCCTAATCAGCATTTCGTTCCTCCATCCTTCAAGGTCATTCCCACATCCCACTATTGGGTTTCCTCCTTGGAACCAGGCCTCCGAAATCGACCCGTTTTTTCTAAGAGATCCTTTCCTGCTGCCAGGAAGGATCGCCTGTCTAATCCTGGGGAATGGAAGGATTTTTTGGGGGGAGAAGGATCCCCTCTAAACTTCTCCACTCCTTCCCACCCACTTTCTGTCATTTCCTCCCCTCCCCCCACTCCTGTTGCCAGAACAAGGACCTCAAAAACCGGCTGACCAGCAACGAAGGGCTGCAGAAGTCCAGCGCCAACGTCTCCCAGCTGGAGTCGCGGATCCAAGAACTTCAGGAGAAGCTCCTGGTGGAAGAGAGGTAACCCTCTGCGCATTTCTCTTCGTGATGTTCACTCACCTGATTTCTGGTCCCCCCCGAGGCCAAGACCAGACAAAATAAAAATCACAACCAAGCTGTGGTCCTCACCATCGGACTGGCTTTAATTCCGTAAAGTAGCCACTTACTTCATCAAAATACATGGATGTGGTTTCTGGCCTCCTTGAGATAATTGCCTGCTCCTGTCACACGCGATGAATCTGTGGTTGATCCCGGAAAGCTTCCTGGGATCACATCCAACGATCCTGCAAGCCCGGCTTGTCTTCCACCGAGGCCATTTGTCCGGTGGCTGGGAGGGCCTGGGAATGACGTGGCCCCTGTCTCTACTACAGGGAGAAAACCGTCTTGCTCTCTTCCAACCGGAAGCTGGAGAGGAAGATGAAGGAGCTGAGCATCCAGATCGACGAAGAGAGGCAGCACGTCAACGATCAGAAGGACCAGGTGAGAACCTGCCAGGTGGAGGCTCAGCTGCTCTTCTTCTCCACCTGGGAGGAAAGATTGAAGCTCTTGGGTTGTGAGGTGTGTCAAAACTCACAAATGAGGCTTGGAAGAGATTCAATTCCCCAGCAGCTTAAAAAGGTCCCTGAGATCAGGCAATCGGCCGTCTTCCCCACAAGATCTGAAGAGGATGGTGGAGTGTTGCTTTGAGCCCCAAGCCATTCTCTGATGTTGGCTTAACGTAGTGGCTTGACGGTTTGTTCAACCCAAGGTTTAGTTAGGATGATCAATGATCACAGCCTGGAGGCCCGTAACTTCTGCCACAGACTATCCAAATGAGTGGCGGAGAACTTCCAGAAGTGACCCACCTAAGAATCTCGGCCCCAGAGCATGCTGGGAATTGTGGTTTCAGCAACCATGGGCGAGGGAGAGGAGGAGTCTCCAACCCACCTCTCAGCTTTGGGGGGGGCTGACCCTCACCGTGGGTGTGTTCTCCCGCTCCCTCTCAAGCTGAGCTTGCGGGTCAAGGCGTTGAAGCGGCAGGTGGACGAGGCTGAAGAGGAGATCGAGAGGCTGGAGGCGGCACGTAAGAAGGCCCTGAGGGAGCTGGAGGAGCAGCACGAGACCAATGAGCAGCTCCAGAGCCGGGTCAAAGCCCTGGAGAAGGACCTCTGGTGAGTAGAGGAGGCTCCTGGGGGTCCACCTTTCTCAGGCGCCCCCTAAACTTCTTCTCTGGGCTCCACACCTGAGACTAAATGGGTGTCCCTTTTATAGCTTTAAATCTGTCTACCTATTTGGTCGGTCTATCCATCCACCCACCCACCCATCTGCCTATCCTTCTGTCCATGCATCCATCTACCTACTACCTATTTGTCATCCATCCACCCACCTATCTACTTGGCTGTCTATTGTTGGTCTGTCTGTCTTCCCATCTATCTAGCTACTTGTCCATCCATCCATTCATCCTTCCATCCATCCATCCATCCACCCCCTACTTGTCCATCCATATCTCCATCCATCCATTCATCTACCTTCCTACTTGGCTGTCCATCATTGGTCGATCTGTCTTTCCACCCATCTAGCTACTTGTCCATCCATCCATCCATCCATCCATCCCTCCCTTCCTTACCTGTCCACCCACAGCTCCATCCATCCATTCATCTACCTTCCTACTTGGCTGCCCATCATAGATCTGTCTGTCCATCACCTACCTACTTGTTTATCCGTCTGTCTTTTCATCCATCCATCCATTCATCCATCCATCCAGAAGAGATGGACAGCCTGCTTATGGAAATCTGATGGTTGCAAGCAGAACCTCCATGCACAGGGGCAGTTTATCTCAGAGTATCTGATCACAACGCCCAATTACATTTGGTAGCCCATAACGTTGGACCGTTCCTTCCCTCTGATCCCCGGAAAATGTCTCCTTCCCTTTCGAGCCCAGGAGGGTGTCCATCGTCCTCGGGTAGGCCCCCTCTTGACCGTGCCCCCCTGTTTTTTGCCTCCAGGCGCAAGGCAGCACGTTCGACGGCCGAGTCCTCTCTCCGGGACGACCAGCTGAGTTCGGACGAAGAGTTCGACAGCGCTTACGGCCCGTCCTCCATCGCGTCACTCTTGACGGAAGGAAACCTCCAAACCAGCTCCTGTTAAGGGCCTCTCAGGGTTTGTTGGGATGCTCTCTAAAGATCCCCCGGGAACTTCGCAAAACTCACGGTGGGGCGGGATCCCTGCCCCACAGGGAGAAAAGGTTTCTTCCCCAATGGGGGGGGGGGGTCACCGAAGCAACCAACTTCTTGATTTAAAAAACAAAATTGGAGGAAAGATTTTTATTTTTGGTCGCTACCAGATGGAAAACCAGAGCCCCAGTCTGTAAAAGAAAAACTTGAGTATTATTTAGGTTTTTTTTTTTAAAAAAAATCTGGTTCTCAGGGCATTGATGAGCGGTTAAAATAACAGAGCCTCCTTTTAAATATGTATATTTTTTTGTACATACGTCGGGTTGCATGGAGATGGCGACGGGCGTGCAATTATATTGCAGAACAATCCAGAATGTTAAAAATGGGGCCTTGTTGCATGGAATGGAAGCCAAAGGGATTTTCTTCACCCTGGCCTGTTCAAGTCCCTCTGGAAGAAATATTTGCGGTTTCCTCAACTGAATCTTTCCTGCATTGGCTTGTCTTGTGTTCCCCGCCACAAAGAAATCTCAACCAGAGGCGGCCTTCCGGATGTGTCTGAATCCCAAACTCTCTTCAGACTGCTGGCTGGAGATCTGGTGGCGGGTAGTTCCGCAGGATCTGGAAGACGGCTGCCCCTCTCTGATTTTTCCTGCTCTGTTCTTCTCGTTTTAAAGGAGTGCCTTTCCCTCCTTCTTCCCCAGAAGGAAAAAAAAAGATAATTTTCAGTGGGCAACTAGAGGTCACGTAGACCTTCCCACTTAGAAAACAGTGAGCAGTTTTGGCAACCCCCCCTCCCCCCAAGGAGGGCTCTGGCCAATTCCTGGTGTTTTCCTCCCATTAAATCAACCAGGATTGGGTCGAGGATGCTGGAGAGTTGCCAAAAACGGAGACGGTTGGTTCCCTATCCATTTCACGCTCGTATCGGTCACAAGAAGCAAATTCATGCAAAAAAAATACCCCACCGCAATCCAGATTTAATCTGCAGTATGTGCCTCTTTCTGACTTTGGGGTGCGCATTCTACAGACAACACCCCTTGTTTTTATGATTTTGAAAAATTCAAAATTTTTCAGATTCAACTAATCTTCATGAAATCACCATCCTTGGCACTCGGTCAACGGAAGACTCCGGTTTACAACCGGGGCCCATAAAATGCTATCCGCAATCTGATATTTGGGAACCGAGAAGTCCCATCATCCATTCCTCCAAGCCCAGAGGCTGATGGGACTCGGAACACCTTCCTCTGAAGACAGTAGCGCAGGTGGTCATATCTCCCCGGTTAGAAGGAACGCAACCTTGTTGTGAAAATAAAACGACACCAGAGCAGAGTCAAAACCCGGTAACCTATCCGAGAGAGGTGGGGGAGGAAAAAAATGGAAGGAAAATAATAATAATAATCCCCTTTTTTTACAATTCTCTCCTTTAACTGGAGCCCCAAACCTGCCTTCCTATAGCATCTTTTTTGGAGGCAGGATTGGATGCTAAATTGGCCATTTTTAAGAACGACGCGACTGCAGCAACGAAATTTCCCTCCGCTGTTTTTCCAGTTCCAGTTGTGTTTTCAGGGCAAAAGAGGCAACCCATCAGCCTCAGCGCGTCGACAGCTCCTTGGCATCCCTGCGTGATCCGGATTCCTGTCCGGTGAGGCGGGTTTTGAACCCGCCAGTGAGCTGGCAGAGAAGAACGCGGCTGCTTTGCAAAACCCTGCAGCGTTACCCAATTTATTATTTTTTTTTCCAGGGGCTTCTGCTTCCTCGGTTTTTCTCTCTTGGGACCCACCTCAGGTTCCGCCAAAAATCACCTCTCCAGGCCTCGCCTGGCACCGAGTGCCTTATTGTCAGTGAGCAAAAGGAAACTTTTTCCTGGGTTTTTCCTGGCCTGGTTGCCCCAGGAACGTGCTCGGAAACGCAACGCAGATCCGTACCTCGGCACCCAGCCGGTTGAGGGGATGGAGGGATGGAGGGATTCTGGGAGTCTAAATCCCCAAATCTTAAAAAAGTTGCTGAGGTTGGACATCCCCTGAACTTTTAAGGCAATGCTGGCAATCCTGCTTCTGCAAAAGTCCACCAATGAATCTGGATTAAATTTGGAAATCCCAATCCGTAGGAAATATCGGCGTTTTTCATCAAGGAGGGATTTTTTTTCTTTCTTTCGACAAAGCTCAACTTTATCCACAACTCCGAATGTTTCATTTCCTATTTTTTTTTTTTTAAAATCAAATGCCAATAGTTCGCCGTTAGGGAAAAAAACCCATCCAAGTTTTGAGCCAAGACGGTGAGATTTGCAACGGAGCTGTACGATTTTAAATAGCTGCTAATGCAATCCGGGCTGAATTTTAAGAATGGATCATTTTTTGATTTCCTGGAACTTTATTATATATATATATAACATATATATATATATGTATATTTTCCTGATCTCGGATGAAAATCAAACTCCTTGTATGTTGATTTTTTCAAATAAAAGAGCTATATTTATCGAGTTGCTTGGCTACCGGTCCTTCTTCTTTGGATTGGATTCATATCCTTGCTGGATTAGAAGCTGAACAGGATTTCTTTCTTTCCTTTCCTTTGAGGCTAATTACAAATATTTTCACATATTTTCACGGCATTGTGCAAAAACCGCCTCTGTTTCTACATCTCTATCCCACAATGTCTCTTCTATATTTCCATATTTGGCGTCTTTCCTTTCCCACCTTCGTACAATCCTAGGTTTGTGCCACATAATTCGATTCCAAAGAATGATTTCTGCCTTTAAAACTTTTCTTTCTCTTCGCAATCTCCAGACATTTATCCCAGTTCCCAACCCTGCGCCTGATCTCTGGAAAATCCACTTTATTCTCCGCCACAAATATTTTTTTATCCGCCGGTCTTTTTTTATTGCTCGCAGGTGGCTTTTCCCCGTTTACCGCCTCCCTTTGCAGCATCTGGCCAAGCCTCGCAGAGACCACAAGAAAAGTATTAAAATCCCCATTTTCCCACCTGATTTCTCGGTGGGTGCTTCTCAGAGCAAAATGGATGACGTAAAATTCGCCTTCCCAGAAAACAGCACCCAACTTTGCCAAGATCCCAAAATAAGGGTGCCCTTTTGCATCGTTGAGATGCTTTTCATTCAGAAAATAAGATTTAAAAAAAAGAGTTGCATTTACACCCAGAACAAAATCATCCTCAATTCGACTGGTGCCTTTAGTTTGATGTCTCAAACTCTGGAATAATAACAACAACAATAATAATAATAACAATAACAATAATATTTTAATACCACCCTTATCATTAGGTATGATCTTCCCAAGTGTTTAATCCAGATTTTGGCTTATTTCAAGGTTCAATCTGGGTTATTAATCATTAATCTCTTTCACTAAACCCTCATCAAGCCATCTTTGACCTTAGCTAACATCTCAAGCCAGCTTCTGCCTCTGAGAATATGCAGAGTTCTTGTGCTGGATGGGGAAGGGGGGAGGGAGAGAGAAAGGGGTTGCCTTGTCTTGAAAGGGGTGGATTGAGGCAAGATAACAGAATAGGGACCTTGGAAGGTCATTTAGTCCAACCCCCTGCTCAGGCAGGAGACCCTATCCCATTTCAGTCAAACGGTTGCCCGCTGTCTTCTTAAAAAACCTCCAGCCTTGGAGCACCCTACGACGCTTCTGGAGGGAAGCCTGATGCCCTCGAGGGTTCCCACTTCCCATTCCCGGCCCCTGACTCACAACAGTGGCTACACGAGACCCGTGGCCTCAGTTTCCCTTCTGTGGAAGACAAACAAAAGTGAGTCACCCTGGAGTGCATTCCTTCCCGGATACGTTGGTGAACTTTTGGGCTGGGTGTCAAGACGCTTAAAATGCCAGCTTTAATCTACGCGGGTGAGAATTGGAGATTTTTCCCCCCCTTCCTTTGCTTCTTTTCCTAAGCCGCTTATTAGGATGAAACCATCATCCAGCAGCTGGTGGGGAAGGAAGATCGACACCTTTTTTTATTTCCCCCTTGGGCAGGGAAGAGGAAAAATAAAACACATCCTTCTTCATTTTTGGCTTTAATGAATTAAAGACAGGGGGAAAAACCCCTGCAGAAAAATGACACACACAAATATTTTTTTCACCTATGTGTGTCATTGAAACTTTTAAACCAGGAGATTAAAAAACAATTGCAAACTAATATAAAGAAAGGAGAGGGGAGAAAACTCCCCCAAATCAAAAGCCTTCTATGTTGATTTTATAAAAAAAATAAATAATATTTTATAATAAAGGGGGAAAGAAAGAAAGTTGGAATGGGAGCGAAAGAAAACAGGTAGAAAATGGCTTCCCATCCCCTTCGCAGCAGTTATAAGTAGAAAAAAAAATTTAATCTTTCTTTTTTAAAGTTATGTCCCTCTTCTTTCCATCCTCTCTCCTGTCTAACTGCCCAATAATAATAAGCTCTTTATTTATTTTTATGCAAAAAAAGTGATGCAAGGAATTCCAAAGGAAAATGGCATTTATTCCTAGAATCTGGAGTTGTTGCACCCAAAGAAATTGGGGCCAAAAATAAAAAAAAAGGATCCAAAGCTATTATTCTCTGCCCCTTCCAATTCATCTCCAATCATAAAATTAATAAATGAATTAAAATGATACATTCATTAATTAAATAATCATAATAAAACTTGCTGCTTTAAGAAGGGGCCGAAAGATCTATCTGGAATTCAAAAATTCTAAAAGCTATCCGCCCCATGAAACGGAGCCTCCGTGTAAAGGAGCAGTGTACCTTTACGGGTTCAGAGCGCAAACAAAAGGCCATTGTTGCTCGCGTTTCCCAATTAGCCATTTCTCGTCATCGATGAGATCACTTCGTTCTTTTGTTTTAGAACCGAAGCACCATGTAAGTTTTGTGACAATGTTTTAACAACTTTCTTACGCAAATGCAACCTGTTGGGGATGTGACCTTGTCAGTTTCTCCATCTGGAATATTCCCCCAAGGCTTACAACCTGCGGCAGCCCAGGTGAATCGCAGCTCAGCTTAGACAAGGCAGGATAAGACATTGGAGGGGGTCATTGTCCTCCTTTCACCTGCTTACACAAGTGTGTGTCTCTGTGTGTGTGTGTGTGTGTTAAGACACACAGGTTGTCCCTGCGTCAAGGTTGGGAACTTTAGGGCGGCTCGGGTGCCAGCCCCTGCTGTGAAAACTCAGGCCCGGCATTTGTGTCTTTCTCTTGTTTGTGCAATAACTATGTGTGACGTCTGGCTAGAAAATCGTATTTTGGAAGAAGGAGGAGCAGGAGAAGAAGAAGAGAGGATGAAGGAGAAAGAAGGCGAGATGAAGGAGAAATAGAATGAGGAGGAAAAGGAGGAGGAGAGATGATAGAGAAGGGAAAACAGAATGAGGAGGAAGAGGAAGAAGGGATGAAAAAAAGGAGAGATGAAGGGGAGGAGGAAGAAAAGGAAGAGGAAGAAGAAGCGGAAAGAAGGAAGAGGAGGAGAAGGAGGAAGAATTGGAAGAGGAACGGGAAAGAGGAGGAGGAGGAAGAAGAGGAAGAGGAAAAAGGCGAAGAAGGAAGGAAGAAGGGAAGGAGAGAAGGAGGAAGGAAGAGAAAGAAAGAAAAGAAAAAGAAAGAAAGATCAAACAAGTTACAGATAAATTGCACTCTGCCAATGGAAACTGCCAATTCTCTCCTCCTTTTAGACCTCTGATCCTTTCCACTTTTCTACCAATTCTTTGTGATAATCAGATGCCCAGATTTCAGGGGGTGGGTGAGGGTGGGGCTCCTTCCTTTCCTGGTGGTTGGAGAAGAGCCACCTTAGCTTCAAAGAAAAGAAAAGAAAAAAAGGGGGGGAAAAAAGGCATCCTTGGCCCAGCCCCAGTTTTTATTTTAAGCTTTTAATCTCCTTGCTTTTCCCCAGACGGGTCGTTCAGCCAAGGTGTTCCCGGGCGCTTCCCGGGTTTCCCTTCTCTGCCAGCCTCGCCCAGGTGGTGATAAGAGAGAAAAACTCTCCTTCAGTTGCTCAGCAAAATCGGCTCCTTCTTCCGCTAACCCGGTTATCAGTCGCGGTGACTCAGCCGAAGGAGAAGCCGCCCGGAGGGTTCAAATCACCCCTTTTAATTCTCTTCTCCTCCTTCCCGGTCGCTTCCTCCCTCTCTCCGCAGCCACCCTGTTTCCTTCTCCCCATCCCTCCTTTCCCCCAAAGCCTCCAGATCCAACCGGGGGTGCCACGTCAGGACAGAAGAGCTTCCCCTGGGAGACTTCAGCCTGTCGAGTCCTGATGGACTCTTCGGGCTCCGTTCAACGACAGGCGAAGTTCAGAAAAGCATAAAAGGATGCAAAGGATTTCCTCCCCTCCCGCTCCGGTGCCAGTGGTGGGTTGCTACCGGTTTGCCTGATAGCGGTAGCGACGTGAGGCTCCGCCCACCCGCATGAGCGAACCGCTAGCAAACGAAATTGAAACCCACCACTGCCTGGCGCTATGCCGTCCCATTTCGCCACGTTTTCTAAGTCACGTGCGTGCATGCAGGCCACGCGCGCTCACATTTTTGGTGCGTGGAGAACCGGTGGTAAAATTATGTGGAAACCCGCTCCTGCTTTGAGCCCAAGGTGGGAAAAAATTGGGGGAGACCGCATCTTTCTTGACTTGAGTGGAGCCCCCATGGGCAGGAGCAGTCTACAGTAGTCCTTGACTCGTGACAGAGCCCAAAATCTCTGTCGTTAAACCAAGACAGCTAAGTGATTCCCTCCCCCCCCCACAATTTTACAACCTTCCTCGCCGCAGTGAACCGCAGCAGCTGTTAATTGAGTTACATGGCTGTTAAGCGAATCCGGCTTCCCCCTCCCCCCAGCCCCCCATTGACTCTGCTTATCAGAAGGCCACGAATCACGTGACACGTCATAAATGTGAGTCAGTTGCCAAAGCGTCTTGAGTTTTGATCACGTTGACCCCCGGGGGAAGCGGCGATGGTCGTAAATGTGAAAAATGGCCGTAAGTCACTTTTTTGAGGTGGTTAAGTGTGAAAAATGGTCCTAAGTCTCTTGTTTCAGCTCCGTTAATAACTTCGAACGGTCACTAAATGGACCGTTGTAAGTCGAGGACTACTTTCATAGGGAATTAGCCCCCCAAAAACAAGCTATTTGTCATGTTTTAGGATGGAAACACAACCCCCAGTGCTCGATTCCACCTCCGGGCACTTCACAGATACTCTGCCCTTGTACAGGGAGGCTCCATTTAACCCTTGAAATGCCCTGCCATTCTATACTTGGACAGTTCTCCCCACCACCCACTCCCCGCTCTGCTGAGAGGACAACCCCACATTGGCTTGGCTTGCAACAAGCCAGGTTGGCCATCCTTTCTTGCAAATCAGTTGCGTGTTATTGTGCTCCTTCCTTAATTCCCCGGAGAAAGGAGGGGGGCATCTCTGCCCAGTTTGGGGAGCCCAACCAGCTGCTCCAGCCACTGCTAGGCAAACAGGTGCTGGAGGAGGAGGAGGAGGAGGAGGAGGAGGAGGAGGGCAGCTGCGCTGCTGCGGACGGGATGAGCTCACCGCTCAGGAACGTAGCAATTACGGCATCCTCAAGAAGAGGAGGAGGAGGAGGCCGAGCGACACACCTTGACGCGCAGGGATGGAGAGGTGGCGGAAGGACCGGCTGGGGAGCTTCGGCGGGCAGGTGAGACGATGGTGGTGCACGGAGGGCCCGAATCCCGGAGAAGCCCAGGAGCTCTGGGCACGGTCCAGGAGATTCTCCCTGCCGGCTGCGGCCTTGGGGAATCCACCTGGGCCCCCCCTCGCCGGTCCCGCCAGGGAAGAGAACAACAAGTGGTGGTGTATCCAGGTGAGTTTCAAGCACAGCATCCATGGAGAAAGAGTGTGTGTGTGTGTGTGTGTGTTTTTGGAAGGGAGGCATGGACATTTCTGCCGATTTCTGGCACCAAGGTTGGCAGCTGGCAGCCTCTCTGCCCAGTCTGGCTTGTATGGGGCCAAGACAGAAAAAAAAATGGAATTATTCAAATAATTACGCTGCATCTCATTTCTTGTGTTGTTGTGCTTTTTGTTGGTCTCCAAACGGGCTTGTTCTTCCCTTGCTTTCCCAGATGGGAGTTTGATCCTAAACAGAGCCTCCTCCAGCAGTGCAGTCTATCCCCAAAAGTCCCGACCCTGCAGAGTTTCTCCCTCCGTATCTTTTGATTTCCAAATCCTTCTGGCTGTTTTCCCAAAATGTGTCTCCCTGGCTGTCGATTTGACGCTCGGTGAGAAAAATACCCTGCTCGTTGCATTCCCCCATCTGGCTGGAGAAACGACACCCCAGGCAGGTTGGACAGCCTAACTTGACGAAAATACCCTCCGTAAATGAAATTTACGAGTTTTCAAACTCTTCCCGGCTACTGTTACAACATCTTTGAAAGGAAAATAAACGACAGAACGGCCTTTCAGTTGTTGTTGCGCTACGATTGTCACAACAACCCATGTTTTTCCAGAGAGAAAACAGACGCTGGCTGTTATTCACATCCGCTACCGTGTGAGAGGAGCTGATTTAAACGTTTGTAGCGGGCTCATTTGCCTGACATTTATTCCATTCCTCCTCGGTTAATGCAAATAAATTTGCATTTTGGCAGAACTGCCAGGCTGTTTTTCAAGTATCCAGGGAAAAGGCCAGAAGAGTTTAGACAACCATTTGTGTGATATAATACCGGGACTCCTGCTTGAGCAGAGGGTTGGACTAGAAGACCTCTGAGGTCCCTTCCGAGTCTGTTATTTTTATGCTTATTTGGCTAAAATCCCAACGATTGAAGGAAAAATACTGTCTAGCATCCCTTGATTGTACGTCTGCTTTGCTCACAAGGCTCCATTAATGAGTGGGTAGGTAGGTAGGTAGGTAGATAGAGAGGATGGATAGATAAATCGATAGAGAGATATATGATAGATATAGAGGATGGATAGATGATAGATAGATAGATAGATAGATAGATAGATAGATAGATAGATAGATAGATAGATATAGAGGATGGATGGATGGATAGATAAATATGGATAAATGATAGAGGATGGATAGATAGATATAGAGGATGGATGAATGGATAGATAAATAGATGATAGATATAGAGGATGGATGGATAGATAAATAGATAGATGATAGATATAGAGGATGGATGGATGGATGGATAGATAGATATGGATAAATGATAGATATAGAGGATGGATAGATGTAGAGGATGGATGGATAGATAGATATAGACGATGGATGGATGGATGGATGGATGGATGGATGGATGGATGGATGGATAGATAGATATGGATAAATGATAGATATAGAGGATGGATAGATAGATAGATGTAGAGGATGGATGGATGGATAGATAGAGATAGATAGATAGATAGATAGATGGATAGATAGAGATAGATAGATAGATAGATAGATAGATAGATATAGATAGATAAATAAAAAAACTATAGCCCAGTTTATTACAACCAACAATTTAGATGTGTTCAGATGCCTCAATGAAGGACCCAAAATCTTTGGAGAAAACCAATTTGGATCCCTTTGGAAAGAAAATTCAGCCCCGTTTGCTGACGGAACCCCTTGAGCGACCGGAAGGGAGGGACGGCATCTCGGTGGCGTCCGATATTCCTCCATTTTTTTAAAAAAACCCGTTCGGATGCCCGTCGTTCCGCTCGACCTGCACCGAGCCGTTCGCGAGCACAACCAATGCGACGTGCAGGCCAGCCGACAGAATCCGGTCGGACCCGTTGGGCAGGTTGTTTCTTGCACGGCTGCGAAGTGCAGCTTTATCCGCGAAGCTCTTACCTCCCCTTGGGATGAAAGCGGCCAAATGGCAAATAGGTCAACGCGTTGGCAGCCTCCGGCGTGCCCGGCGGTGAGAAAAATTAAAAGCGAGAAGGAGGGAACCAACGGCAGCCGCCGAGGGAGCGAGTAACTGGATTTACGTGTCATAGGAAGCCCCCGTGGTGCCGTTCAGTGGCCCTCGACTTAACGACCGCAATGGAGGTTAATTTTCAGTTGCTACGTCAGACGGTTGTTAAGTGAATTTGGCTCCCTTTTAATCCCCTTTCTTGCCAGCGTTGTTAAGCGAGTCCCTGCGCTTGTTCCAACTCGTTATCGAGGGGGTTGAGTTGAACCTCGCTTCCCCGGGACACTGCCACCGTCACAAATGTGAGTCGGTTGCCAAGCATCCGATTTTTAACCACGGTCGTAAGTGTGAAACACGGTTCCCTTTTTCCGTTGCCATTGTTCTTTGAATGGTCACTAAATGCATTTATGATGGTGGAAGCAAGCTTTTGACAAGCAACGTCGACGGGGAAGCCGGATTCGCTTTACGTCTGCACGGTTCACTTAACAACGGTGGCAAAAAGAAAAAAAAAGGTGGTGAAATCAATCTTAAATAACTCCGTTAACAACTCTTTTGCTTAGCAGAGGAAATTCCGGTCCCGATTGTGGCCGTAAATCGAGGACTCCCTGGCTTTGATGAACCCAGGTTAAGCAAACCATGGTTTAGGCTGTGCCCAAACCCTATCCATACGCAGAATAATCTTTACCACTTTCCCCAGTGTTGGAGGGCAGACAAGCTGTGTTTGAACAGCCATTACTGGCTTCGCAGGTGACCCCAAACTGGGTTTGATGCCTCGGTTGCCAAGGGGCTGGGCGTGTCCCCCGCTGAGCCACAAACCTAGGTTTACAAGCCGCAGCGCGAACCCAGCCAAACCATGAAGGGTGTGTTTGTGCTGTTTGTGGGAGCAAATGTTTGGAAAACTCGATTTTAAGGCTGGCACCAGACCAGAGGGTGGAGTTGGGCTGGGGGGAGATTTTTTTCCTCCCCCCCCACCGGAGACGGAGCAGAAACCAGGATCTGTTTTCAGCAACGGGGAGATTTTGGCAGAGGGATCTCTGTAATTTGGCTGGCAACCCATCTTCTTCACACGCCCAGAGGACGGATTTAACAGGTGCTGCTTCAACCAGAGCAGAAAAACAAGCCCAGGAAAATACAAGGGCAGAGCCCAGCCCTCTCCCCCCTTTTCTTCGTCTCCCTGAGGACTAGCTCCTTTGTTGGCCTTTTCAACTTGGTCTGCATGGAGGTGATGTTTGCGCAAAGCTATCGTCCAGCTCAGTGAGAACCAAGAACATTTGTTGGCATCGTCCTTCTGAATGTTGAAACTGTAAAGTTTCTCAACTTCGGTAGTTTTAAGATGGGACTACAACTCCCAGAATTCCCCAGTCAGCATAGAATTCTGGGAGTTGAAGTCCACCCGTTTTAAAGCTGCTTAAGATTGCTAACACTGCCCTAGAGGAAGGTTAGAGAGAGAATTGCTCCCCTGGCATGGCCAAATGCACTTTGTCCATGCTCAGAGACCATTAGGACTCTCTTTCCGTTTTCATGTGTACATAATTCTTCCATATGGAAATGTTTTTATTTTTTTTATCTCCCTTGCACGGCTTAAACCAGTGGTTTCTCCCCATTGGTAGCTTAAAAACAGGTGGACTTCGACTCCCAGAATTCCCTAGCCTACTACCTTCATGGACTGCAACTCCCAGAGTTCCCCAGACAGCATGGAATTCTGGGAGTTGAAGTCCAACTGTTTCAAAACAGCCAAGGTTGGAAAAAAACACTGGCTCCAAGGGAGCTTTTTTATAAAATTTAATTCCCTTTTATCCCGTTTCTATTGCCACCCAATTCAGCTGAATGGGATTGAACTCGGGGCCTTTCTTAACCGCCGTAGGACCCGACGTAAATAACAGCCGCCGGGAATTGGGCGGCGAAGGATTTTTAAGAAATTATTGTTATTCCTGCAAAAAGCTGCTTTATTGTTATTGTTGTTGTTCTAGGCAGCACAGGAAATGGCGTTGCGGCTGACATTTCATGGAAAAAAGCAATAAAATTTGAAAACACCTGCATTTCTGGGCAGCCCAACCACACCTATCCGCTCTCAATAACCCCCCTGGGGGAAATTCTCCTTAGGGGTTTCCGTTGATGGGTTGTGGTTCTTTTTGACACAATTTTAACATAATGATGGACAGGCAGGAAGGAGTCTTTTTTTTTTTTTAAAAAAAGGGCCTTAATTACGATTTCCTATTTTTGGCACAGTTGTTTTTATTTTTATTTTATTTTTCCCCCTCTCCTTCTCCCCGCCCTTAACATCTGGGCGTTTTCATAGCTTTTAAATGCATGGGTTACCTTGCCTCACCTCCATTATTTTGAAGCAATAATATATATGTATATATATAAATATATTTATTATATATATATATATAATAAATAATAAATAAATAAAAATGGATCATATTTATCAAATCCAATAAATACAAAAAAAATCCATCCATGGCAAGGGCCGCTCCTAAATAAAAAGTTCAGGCTTCTTTGGTAGAGGCTGGAGCAGATGGATGGCCCATAGCAGGCAGCTCTAGCTCCCATAATGCACAGCACCCCCCCCCAGCTGGCTGTGGACCATGGGCACTGTAGTCCAGCAGTTGAGTTAGGGAAATCAGCCAGCAGATTAGCCTCTCTTTTTTCTTCTTTTTCCTCCACCACCTCCACACTCCTATTTTCCTCCTTGCGCCCCCCCACCCCATTCACACCCGTTGCTAATTCCTTAGTTAATAAAGTTACTAAAAAAAAAAAAATTCAGGTAGACTACTAGAGGACAAGGCGCATGCGCGGGAGCAGAGAGTCGAAGGGGCGGAGCCCGAGGAGGCTCTTTTCCCCCCACCTCCTCCCAGGAAACCGGCCAACCACCTTCGAGCAGGGGCGTGGCCAGCCGCCGCTAGCGTGGAAGGAGAGAGGCGTGGTTTGGAGCGGTTCGGAACGCTGGGGGCGTCAGGAA